AAACTGTAAAAACGTCTTTTTTTTCCTTGTAAATTGTAAAAAGCCCTTTTTATTTCCCGTAAAACTGTACCAGCTACCCCCCTTGCCCCCCCCCCCCTCAGTTTAGTATGTTCATAAGCAAGCCAAGTTTGCAGGAATAATCTCAATAACTTACAGTGATTAAAAAATTAAACTGCTTGAAGTCATTAACATTAAAACTTTGATTTACATTCTTGTCAAAGTTCGTAAGATTTTAAGGTGTATTTTGCAAATAAAATATTCTGGCATCTTGGACAAGATAAATGTAAACCTCAGTAACAAATTGACAGTTTTCACATCAGAAAAAATATATGTATATATATAAATTCTCATAAAAACGTCAGTTATCACAAACATACAACATTGTCTTCAAGTCTGTATAAAATAAATCTTGTGATTCCATTTAATTAATTTACATTACAATAGAAAGAAATGGTAAAATGGATTTGGGGAATGGTGACTAAAGTTGACAGACTTATGACCACCATGTGATAGTAATCAGTGACTCAAACTTTTGTGATTCAAAGTTCAAGTTCAGAATTTATAATGTTCATAAGCAAGCCAAGTTTGCATGAATAATCTCAATTACTTTTAATGATTAAAAAATTAATCTGCCAAGTTGTTAACAACATTGAAACTTCTATTCACATACTAGTCAAAGTCAGCATGATTTTAACAATATTTTGAAAATAAAATATTCTGGCATCGTGGTCAAGGTAAATGTAAAACTAAGTAACAAATTGGTAGTTTTTAGCGCCAGAGAATATATATGTGAAGAATTGGGCATCAAATTCGCACAAAAATATCAGTTATCACAAACATACATTATTGCCTTCAAGTCTAAATGGAATAAAACTTGTGATTCCATTTAATTAATTCACATTACAATAAAAAGAAATGATAAAATGGATTTCATGAAGAATAGCATTCTTGCTTCAAATTTCACAACAACAGCGAAAGATCACACCCATACTATTCACAAGATTAGATTCTGTATTAAGTGGTCAAAGGGCACACCTGAGGTGGAAGCTAATAAAAGATCACACATACACCAGCAATCTACCATGTACATGTACATTAAATGATTTAATGTAGATACCCAGCATATATGTAGTCACAAACTATCAAGTGTCAGTCATCGCACCTATCGTCATTGTTATGGGATTCATGCAAATTCACTGTATTTTCGCTTGGAATTAATTTTTTTTTGCTGGTGGAATGATTAGGTGAAAAAAAAATCCAGTGAATATATCTTTTTTTCTATATTTTACATACAACTCATCAAAAGTCAGTGAAAATAAACTCCATACAAAACACCCAAAACGTCTTTTCAGCAACAATTAATTTCAGCTAAAATAAATTATTTTACAGTATGCAATGTGTGTAAAAAATACATTTACAATAAATGCAACAACTGTAGTAATTTCATCAGCAAACACTCGAGTGGTCAGCCATTTTTACTTAGCTTTATCAATAAAGTATCTTTTATTACAAGGTAGCTTTAACCTTTTTCACCACAAGTTCCCTCGTTTCATCAAAAATAGTCCTGTTTATAGTCTGTCTGCACATTCCTTTAGAAGATTAGGACAAAAATGGTCAAATTTTTTGAGTAAAAACTGAAAATTTACTCAAATTTTGTCTGTTGGCTCTAAAATTAGGGTTCAATTCTAGAAATATTGAAGAATACAAGAAAAAAGTGCAGACAAATTTGGGCAAGAATATCTGGTGGTGACAAGGTCGACATTACAAATCAATTTAAACAGTGCTGCCAAAGATTCATGAAAGAGGCTATGCATGTTGTGTAATATGCGATGAAGATCTCGCCGAATTGAAAAAGTTGTACGAATTATGAGATATACACAGAAATACATTAGAAATATTAATGCAAACGAGTCTGAGAAAAAACTGGTTTGAATTCATCTTGGGGTGCCTTGCTTAGTATAGTATCCATGTTTATTTGCGAAAGCATGAAATATGGCAATAATTTCATTTTTGCTTATGAAATATAACCTTTCCCAGCATTCACTGTATTCTGTGTGGTTCTGTGATGCTATGAAAAATGTGTATTATTGATGAGCATTCAGATTAAAATTTTCGTCACTTCCATCTTACTCAGATATCAAAGTGACATACTATTATCTAGATTTGCTCACAAGCTTGTTATTGAAAATAAAAATGAAAAGAGCAAATAAATAATGGAATGATCATAAAAAAAAAAAAAAACTTGGATCCCAAAATTATGGCGATTACTGTTCAAAAACCCAGGGAAAGTTTCACATGTTCTGTATATACCAGTATAGTGTAATTAGGTGTAGCAAGGAATTTTTCCACACAAAAATAACAAAATGGACCAAATTTTGTTAGCAGTTGACTTAATGTTTCCCCCAACCAATTGTTTGGCTGTGAAAGTTCGGTATTTTTTTTTTCTGATTTGTATAAATCTGAAAAACCTGTTTCTCAACTTGTCTCTTTATTTAGTTTCAAGTCATATTCAAGATAGCTGACCCAATATCTATTGGAGATTACCGTAATCATATTTATTTGATTATCGCTTGTACGCCAAATGACTGTGCTCAGAACCCACACTGAGTGAGAGCATGGAACTACAATTGTACTTCCATGGTGAGAGTGCATGAGTACAATTTTCTTTATGGTGCTAGAATAACTCTTCAGTAAGGAAATGTACATGTATTCATTTCATTATTTACTGACAAACACAAACAATCATTTATATAGTACACAGTGAGAACAATAGTGAATGCTTGAATTTTCAAGTAAGCAACATACATTAAGGTTGTACAAGTGTGGAATCTATATCGAACATGGTGCGGAGCCTTAAACAAACATCTGACCTATATAATGACCTATTTTATTAACTAGTCCTCTCCGACCCTGTTGACTCTAATCTAGTGAGAGTTGCATAGTTTCACCGGTGATTCCCCAATTTCCAAGGTTAAATATATAACAGACAAAATCTTGTGCAGAACTGAATAAGTAACAGCTCCAGTTAAAGTCAACTCTGTTGAATCTGGGTTAACTAGTTTTTGTGCACTCTATTTGAACTTTGTGACCAATCTAAGGCATTGAACGCTTGTTCATTCCCACTGAGTTGTCTGTTTTGTTGAATTACCGTAGTCATGTTGGTCTGAAAATTTTCTTCCTTTTGGCGATTATTTGAATTTTCAGTAAGACACTGTATTAATTTGCTAATTTAATCGTTGTCACTGCCAGTTGGTGCTGTTTATTCATACCTTGTCTATACACAGTATATAGATACATATGGATGACTCATACCATATGTATTAAACCATGTGGTACTGTAAAATACTTTATTTTAGCTGGAATTAATTTTCGCTGACATTTTGGGTGTTTTGTATAGGATTTATTTTCAATGATTTTTGACGAGTTGAATGTAAAATTTAGAAAAAAAGTATACTCGCTGGATTTTATTTTTACTGAGTCGTTCCTTCAGCAAAAAAAGCAAAAATTAATTCTAAGCGAAAATAAAGTATTTTACAGTAATATAACGTAGTATATGAAAGAGGTATGTGATGAAAAAAAGACACAAGCATAAAATATTATTAGGTGGAATACGATTCTAGTTAAACAATATCACGTGTAACTATAGAATCCATGCATCAAGTGCCTGTGGATGGGTCTAAGCATGGATGTACTAACAAAGGATGAACTACTGACCAATTTCCTTTGATCTATCTGTTTTGCCGCTGATTATTTTGAAGTAATAAATAAACATTGATGTTCACTTCTAATTGAGTACATCCATGGTCTAAGCATTGATTAATAATTATACCATGCAAGTATAATAGGATTATATATCTAAGGTGACTCTATTGCATCACGTCATATTCAATGGTTCTTCAATTCAATTGTTACCTGAAGTGGATCGAGTATGAATGAGTTTGCGTCATTTGGACACTGTCTACTGAGACACCGTCCCTCAATATTGAGGGACGGTGACTGAGAGCACCGATATTCAAGGACAAACCAGGCATTAAAATCGTGAAGCACGTGTCTAACGATTTTGTCTTACGAAGATAACAGTAAAAGTATCGTATGTAATACATTATACATTTCATTGACAGTCTCTCTATGAATGGGTGACGGTAACTTAGAGTACGACCTTCAAACAATTCTTCAAGTTCACCGGCCGGGACGTGCATCGATGTACTTATCACATTTTAATTCAGAATGTAGTATATATATCACCATATATGAATGACTGTTAGAAACACGGCCTTACCTCTTAACAGCCCGGCAAAGAAAATTGTCACAATTCCCGAATAAGCTGTTGGATGATGTTACTAAAAAAATAACCGACGTGCACTTATTTGGGCAACGGTGAACTCACCTCAGGTCACCGGTTTGATGATGTCACGTGCCATGAGGTCATAGATTACTTTTTTTTTTTACTCGTGTTTTTTTTTTTACACCTTCAACTTTGACTGTTTTATTTATCTAATTTTGAACGATTTTATAATAATCTGATTAGCTTCTAAAATATTTTTTTCTAAAGATTATATTATAGGTTTATAAAAAAAATTATAGGATCTCAAGAAGTCTCGCAAAATCTCGCGGCAGTCTGAGTACCTTAGGAATCTAAAATGGCGTCGGCTATCAAGTCTCTCAATCCAAAGGCTGAAGTTGCTAGAGCTGCTCAAGCACTTGCTATCAATATCATTGCAGCAAGAGGTCTTCAGGATGTACTCAAGACGAATCTCGGACCAAAAGGAACCATCAAAATGTGAGTTGGCGGAGGTTAATCGTTACTTTGTATCATGCTCATGGCCGGCATGTGACAGCATGTATTAGGAGCTGTGATGATGGTGCATAAAAGCACGTGTTTAGCATAAAGTGTTGGTAAATTTCGCAAATATCACTTTATGTGTAACAGATTTTTGTTTATTTACGTATTTTGTACTTATTATCGTATATAATATAATACAATATTTTCTCATTTTAGTTTGACTGCGTTGGTCAGTCGCACAAATAAATGTACTGGTATTATTATCGTAACAAATTCAAGTCAACTTATCTGACGTTCAAAACGCATGTTATTTAACTAGAAAATATTTTCTACGACCACATGCAATTTAAAATTCATTAGTGATTTTGATATCCCATGTATACAAGAAAACAAATAAATTACATGTATTGTTCTTTATTACACGAAGGTTGGTATCTGGCAGTGGTGATATCAAATTAACTAAGGATGGTAATGTGTTGCTTCATGAAATGGTGAGATATTTTCACTTTTACAGCAAATAACATAACAATGAGTTCAGATCAATACTATTGTAAAACATGTCTTTTTCGCGAGCATGTCTTTTTAGCGAATTTAGCGAGAGAACTAATTCGCTAATTTACTAATTTAATTTAACTAATTTAAGATGTCGCTAATGATTAAATTCAAAATGGCGACCAAACAACGTCTTTTTCTCCAGACACACACTTTGTAAAGAACACAGAAAACTTAATAATCTGGAACACTTCCTTATTACACTTGGCAGTTTTTCTTACTATTTTTTGGAGGTGATAACAGCGCATTTTTGGCAGGCGACAGACAAGTATTGTGAAAACGGGAAATCAACAAAGACAAGAGATTCGCTAAATCAGCATTTCGCTATTACTTCATTTTACCTCAGTTCGCTAAAATAGTATGTTGCTTTTTCAACATGTTTTACAGTATATAACCCATCGTTTTTCTTGGTAATATAGAGCAACATAATTGTGTATGCAACACATTTGAGATTATCAAAAGTTTAGATGAATTTCTTTTTTTCCCAATTATTTGTAGTTCTTAGAATTTATAATTAACATGAATGTTGTGTTTGCAGCAAATTCAACATCCTACCGCTTCTTTGATTGCCAAAGTGGCCACTGCCCAAGATGACATTACTGGGGATGGAACAACTTCCAACTGTCTTATTATTGGAGAATTACTCAAGCAAGCGGATCTCTATGTATCTGAGGTAAGTTCTTGCAAGACATTGGTATCCCCAACTAAAGCCAACCTGTTGTTTTCAGGCTGTAGTTCGTAGTACATCAACTTGGTTCAGTCATTTCCAAAAAATTCCATGATAGATGTTTTCACCAGAAAATCAATATATGGGGCAGAATTGTTTCAACAGTTTAGAAAGTATAATAAAATCATTCTGTGGGACTGGCATAGTATTAAATGTTAACTATGGAAACAAATTTGTTTCATTAAATATGCATTCTACATTTTACAAAATGTCAATTGAATTTACTTGCGTTTTTGTGAAAAACCTGTGATAAAATGAAAGCCACGAGGCATGTTTTGTAAGAACACTGACATGAATGAATCTCTTTTCACTTACAGGGTGTACATCCAAGACTTATAACAGAGGGTTTCGAGATTGCGAAAGAAGAGGCTTTGAAAACGCTGGATAAAGTCAAACTATCCAAAGAAATGGATAGAGATACATTAATCAGCGTTGCAAGTACATCACTGCGAACTAAGGTGCATGCTGAGTTAGCCGATATATTAACAGAGGTGAGAAACATGCTAATTTGTGTGATAACGGCATTCGTAAAGTCAAAATTTTGAAAGTCTGTGTTGTGGGACCCATGAGACATTTTCACTGCTTCATGATGATGATAACATCCACTAAAAACATAAAAATGCATCGGTAGACACTTAATTCTAAATAACGTACTATGGCCATCAGTCGTATACGCAGATGTGACTGCCCCGCTTTGAATAGATTGTATGAACTTGTTAAAAAATGTGATTTCTAAATTACATCTCGTACGTAAACTGATGCTGTTTTTTGAGAATACCACACTGATGCAGATGTATAATTTTGTTTATGACTTGACAGGTAATTGTTGATGCGGTTCTGGCAATCAAGCAGTCGTCTGAGGCTATCGATCTTCATATGATTGAGATTATGCAAATGATGCATCGAAGCGACACTGATACTCAACTAATCCGTGGTTTAGTGATGGATCATGGCGCTAGACACCCTGACATGAAAAAGAGAGTTGATAATGCTTTTATTCTGACATGTAATGTATCTATGGAGTATGAAAAAAGGTATGTTTTAACTAGAAAAAAAACTGTAAGAGCGAGCACTGCAATTTAGCAGCGTCACCAAGTGGGGGAAATAGGGTTCTCCCTACCAGGGTGTGGAGTTTTTGATTAAATTGAGCATTCTATTGATTCCTTGAGGCCAAAATTAGTATTAGACAGGTCACAGTTGAAGACTGGCCACATGTGATCCCTGGTCAATCAGAATTTTATGGTTGCCAGAGGATCAGTTCCCCAGGGTAAGGGGGCACATGGCCATGGCCATGGCATGAGGGCGCTGCGCCCCTGTTCCCTTGTTTGAAACCAGATATTGTCTTTGCTGATTTTGCTGACAATTTGCTGATTTTCAATTCATCCTTGACATTGTTTTGTACAAAGCACCTCATTCAAAATGGTCATTCCTCCTGATTTATCTAAATTTGTAGAAAACTTCATTTTGAAGAGATGTATAGGAGATTGTATAGCTTTGTCGCTTTTCCCATTTCAGTGCTTCACAATATATCTTACCAAATGGTTTTTTGGTAATTCTATGGTCAGATGAACACCAGCAACCTTTATCATATTTGCTCTATTAGAAACACAAATAAGTCAAAAACTGCATTTATTATATAAAAAAAATGTTAGTTTGACTATAGGCAGTCAATGATGTAAACACATGCGCAACTAATAGAGAAAATGTGGTAGATTCTATAACTTGTTCTTAAATACATGTTACTTTTATTTCAGTGAAGTAAATGCAGGATTCTTTTACAAGTCGGCAGCAGAAAGAGAAAAACTAGTGGAAGCTGAAAGACAGTTTACTGATGAAAAAGTAAAAAAAGTTATTGAACTAAAAAAAAAAGTATGTGACACTGATGACAAAGGTTTTGTAGTCATCAACCAAAAGGTTTGTAATATTGCATACTATTGTAAAAACTGTATTTCCTTTTTTTTTACTGGTCCTATTATTGATGAAAACTTTTGACATTTTTCTTTTTTGAAAGTCCAAAGGAATTGTTGGGTTAGCATACAAGACTTGTTTTTATTTAAGAACTTCAGTTGTTGCATTTTAACCAATGTTCAGTTCAAAATGGCCTCACTTAAATGACAAAGCCATTGTTTCCATAGAAACAAGTTTTTTTGTCAAGGAAATTACTCATTTTCGCCAACAAGTTTTGGTAAAAATTGATGCCTCCATCACACCAGCAGTTAGTCTCATCAGTTTTCTTCTACATTCTGTAGGGAGTTGATCCATTATCACTTGATATGTTGGCTAAGGAAGGCATCGTGGCATTGAGACGTGCAAAGAGACGTAATATGGAGAGGTACGTACACCCAACTATAGGTAATGTAATTAGTGTTCTGTGTGTGCTTGTACCCATAACATCAGGTCTTTATCAAAATATAATATTTCTCATACTTATTAATAATTTACTATATAATTAAATATTTTATACTGAAGAGATTAAATATAGTTACAGTAGCATGTTACTTGGTGCGTGTGGTCGAATACACTTGGTATGCAGTAAACAGCTTTATTTTCACGCAACAAATTCTCTTGACAACCGCTTTTCGTGAAATAGTGTCTTTATGAATGCCGTAAAATAATAAAATTTTCTCGCAGCGAAAATTAAATGGTTTACAGTATTAATATTATTATTTTGCAGACTTGCACTAGCATGTGGTGGCATGGCTATGAATTCTGTAGATGATATGACTCCTGATTGTCTAGGATTTGCTGGACAAGTATACGAACATGTACTAGTAAGTATCATTGGTAGATACAAGTTCTGTAAACTAGCATTTGCTATT